AAATGTATGTTAAAACATAGACCTAGAGAACTCCAAAGGGTTATGGTAAAATGATAAGTTTTAACCACATTCAGCAAACCTACTGACTGAAAATTGGATCAGACCATGAAACAATAAAGTTGCAGTGCACATTTTATCTCTTAATATATTATATGTTTAGCAATAGAACCCTAAATGGTGATGCCTAAACTGTAATAGACGTTTTTAGTGATTGTTTTCCCATTGCCTAAATATAGTGCATAACACAATTCAACAAACATGAACTGTAATTTATACAGTGCCCCCCACATCAAGGTTGTATAAAAAATCTATGTCTTTAATTTAAAGTCACATGGACATTTAAATCCTAGACTGGACTGATTAGGTCAAATGTGGTAGACCATAGTCAACTTTTCGCATGGGGAATTATTATATTATTATGGCCCTAAAAAAAGGATGTTCTCTCTACTGTGAAATTCAAGCCCTGCAATATTGTGCACAACCTACAAACATTTCCACGCAAAATGTTTCAGCTCGGTGGCAGTCACCGTGCTGAAAAACCATAGCCTACTACATGTACAGATTGAGATGCAAGAAAACAGGTTAAGCTACTAAAACACTTTTAAATGGGGTAAAAATCACAAGTCAGGCAAAATTTCATGACAAATAACACTGTGTTTATAATTTGTTTGTAATTGTATTTGCAGGACAGGCTTATGGGCAGCCACCACCACAGGGTTATACACAGCCAGGACAGCAAGTATCTGGTCAACCTGGAATGCCACCACCTGTCCCAGGGGCACCTCCTATGGGTGGTCCACAATGGATGCAAGCACCACAGGCCCCAGCTAACTGCCCCCCAGGATTGGAATATCTATCTATGATTGATCAACTTCTTATTCACCAGCAGGTTGAACTTTTGGAAGGTAAACTTAAATAATTTAAACCTATAACATGAATGGTCTTTCTGCTACAAGAAGTATACATACTGAAACACAATTTAGCATAGCTTATTTTGTCTAATAGGTCTTGAGTAGAAGTTGATTGAATGATCCAATTATGATGCATTGTGGGTATTTTTTAACTCCACTGTCAACTTTGTCGAGTGGAGTTTCTCATACATGTATGAATAATTGTCCATGGTCCACATCAACTTTTTACTTTTTCAACATCTTCTTGAAAATTACAAGCCTGATTGCTTTGATACTGGAGTACCTTGAGCAGACCACTCGTAGATAAGTTCATTTCGTGATATCTTCAATTCTCTAGTTTTGATAAATATTTTGGTTATTTTTGGTAAAAAGTGATATTTAGCTCCGCTGTCGACTTTGTCGAGCGGAGCTTATCATATGAGTGATTGTCCGTCGTTGTCGTCCGTCGTCGTCCGTGTCAATGTTTTACTTTTTCAACTTCTTCTTGAAAACTACAAGCCTGAATGCTTTGATACTTGGTGTATATGTACCTTGGGTAGACCTCTCTTAGGTTTGTTCATTTCATGTTGATATCTTCAATTCTCTAATTTTGGTGAATATTTTTGTCATTTTTGGTAAAAAGTGATATTTTCGACTTCTTGTTAAAAAGCGCAAGACAATTACTTTTATATTACATATATAGGTACTACATGTGGACCTCTCTCAGATTTGTTCATTTTGTAATGATATCTTTAATTTTCTAATTTTGGTGAACATTTTTGTCATTTTTTGGTAAAAAGTGATATTTTCGACTTCTTGTTAAAAACCACAATCATTTATGGTGAAAAATGATATTTTTGAATTCTTGTTGAAAACAGCAAGTCCCATTGCTTTGATACTATACATATTGTTCATTTTCTAATGATATCTTCTGTTCTTTAATTGAAATATGCATTGCTAACAGCGGAGCTATCTCAGCCGAGAGGCTGCTTGTTACTATTCTGACGTGTTCTGGATTGTTACATGGAGCTAAAAATTAGCTCCATGGCTGTATATAACAGTTAGACACTGACAAGTTAGTGGGTTGGTACTAGTAAACAGCCTGGGACATAGTCAATATAGGAGTCTGAATCAGTTAGGCCCTGAAAATAGCGTCAACGCACAGTATTCCATTAATGAACGAAGTTCACATAACAATCTTATGCCTACAAATCATCCCATAATTATTGACAAGTTGTTACTAGCTTAAACTAAAACAAGCTGGTAGACTGGTTGGCGATCGACTCCGCTAAAAAAAACAAGCAACATGTTTTCGGCTGTTGACACGGTAGGCACCGGGCACCGTATATGAAGTTCGCCAAAAAAACACTTAGTCTTTAGAAGTCACTTTATTTTATTGCTAGGACGTATTCTGCTGTTAAATTTGTTATTTTCAACCGTTTTGCAATAGTATTTTCCAGATTGAAGGCAGCATTTACAGTTCATTCAAAGTTCAAAGTTGCTTTGGGATTACGTTGATCATGGAGCTAAAATTAGCTCCATGCGTTGATACAGCGTAACAATGTCGGCGCCGGTGATCTCTTACCGGTGTGCAGGCAACGTAGCCAAAATAAAAAGCATGACCATTTAAACACTGCTATTACAAGACTCGTAAAAGGTAATAAATTTGGGGCGAAAGTATTCCAATTAGTGGCGGTACGACCTGCCTGTCAATTATGAACAAAATCAGCCAAGCCAAAAAAATCACAGAAGAGTTAAAAAGCAATTTTTGGTGAACTGTAACCCCAACTTTGGGGTCAAATTTCTCGATAATGAAAAAAGATACCAAAAATTCAAATAGTAATAGTAGCCCACACTCAAGCTTAGTAGAATGAGCTATGTCTGAGGTGTTTTATTCGCTTGAAATGGGAAAACTGTGATGCCTTGTGACGTCATGATAACTTATTCAAGATGGCGGCAAACGCAGGGATTTCGCTGTAGTTTTCCGCGGTTTTCGTCGTGAAATCGACCAATTTCAGACCATCGTTCTCAGAATAATTGGTAAAATAGTTTCGGGACCCATCGACAGTAGAAAGGTAGAAACTTGGGGCGAAAATAATAAAAAAAAAAAGGCTGTTTACCGCCCGACCTGAATTCAGTTCGGTAAATTATGGTAACTCGCATAGGATGGAACTGTAGCTCCCTGGTTTCGCGTTAACACCACAACGAACAAAATAACCGACAGCGAAACCAAGTGAGCTACAGAACTGCAGCTAGCTAGGATGATATTCCCAGAAAAGTGCTAGTTGTTAAAGAAACATAAAACTTTAATTCTCAACAAGGATGAAAGGACCAGTTACTGGGACAAAGCTCTACGCCCCGCGAAACCCTACAGATACGAAACCCAATTACCGCGAAAGCCACTCACCGCGAAGCTACTAGTGGCTTTATAAAATATTTTGTAGCAGCTTGTGAATCCATAACTGGGGCCAGCCATGTTGCAATGTCACGCCGAAGGCTGCTAACTTTTGTTACCATCTTTCATCACCGCTATTGCATTTCTGTCATGAAAACTATTCTTCTGTCGTTGGATAAAAAAAAATTTCCCATTTCAAGTCCATATAATGAGACATTCCAACCGCCGGAACTTGCTGAATGATAACTTTCACTGTGTCTGATAAGCGTTGAGTCTGATAAGAAAGCAATGTCATGATTTGACCTTTATGATGAAATACTAGTAGTGATGTCATTCTTAGCCAATCAGTAAAGCAGATGCATAAAGGTCAAAGATGATTGCTAGACTGTGCCATCATGTGCCATCGTAGCAGAGCAACCCCATTTTTCGTGTCTCTTTATTATGATTAGACATGAATGAAAAGTGCCAAGCTGAGAGACTGCGAAATCCGTGGATTAAAAGTGCTAAGTCCAAATTGTGTGGGACGATATCGAGGAACTTCAGGAATAAGTTGTAGGGATTTGGTTCGACAGCTCCAGTGACTTGGACTTTGAGGGTTTTGAGTTTGACGAAGATGGCAATGAACGTACAAATAAAGATCTGAGAAGTTTTTTCAAACAGCTATAAATTTTTATAATTTTTACTGTGTGAATTTGTAAATTATTATTGTTCTTATATGACGGTTGATTTGTAATTTGTTGACCGGAAATCATTTTACGCACTTTAACCCCTGACATTTTAATTCATTTTCAGTTCACGCGTATTGGGCGTGATTGTCGGCGGGAAAATCCTGATTCAAATGATTTCTCACTGTAGATTTTTATTATTTCTGGTTTATTTTTCACATTATAAGCAATACATTATTTTTGTTACCTTGCCCGTACCATCAAAGATGGAAGGGAAAGGTATATTAAGGGAAAAATTTTGTCCGGCGTTGTCATTGTTAGTCCCCGTTCGGACGTAGTCCGAAAACGGGGACTTATGTTTTGCCCTGTGTGTGCGTCCGTCCGTCCGTCCGTGATCACCTGTATCTCGAACATGCATGGACCGATTAAGTTCAAACTTCACTCATACATCACACATTATATGGGACATATGCACATGCATTTTTTTCATGATCCGATTAACGATAGCCGAATAGCGGCCATTTTAAGGCCGAAAATGCATCAAAATCACACATTTTCACCATTCCGGACCCGGATCTCAGTTATGCATGGACGGATTTCGTTCAAATTTGGTACATACATTAAA